TTACGATTTCCTTACTGATTACGTCTTACGGACTTACGTTTTTCTATGTGCTCCCGGCTTTATACGTGGCTGCTCTCTGTGCTAAAGATCCGAATTCAAATCCCACACATATACATATGTACATACATATATTAGATCTGCATATTGAGGAATTTTATCGGCAGATCAGAATTTTATTTTACTGTTATTCGCTATATGGCAAGTTATTAAGACAACTTCTTATTTAAAAAAGAGAAAAAACGGTGAATTGGGATAGATTGTTTCCTGCTTTTCTGTGTTGAGTAGGATATTAATTTACCTAATATAAAAAGAATTTTGTTTTCAAGTATTCAAAATTTTTGTATTTTTCATAAATAAATGTGCGTATGATAAATTCTTGACATCATTATTTAATTGCAGATATCGGTAAAAATTTGAAATTCTCAAAAATCAACAAATATAAACATAATGCAAATCTAAATTTTCCTTCAACAAGAGAAATATTTTTTATTTAAATTTATTTAAAAGTATTATTTATTTTGTATTAATAATACAATTTTATTGGAAGAAATTGATGCAAAATTCAAGTGATGAAAAATAAATGGAAAATTCATTAAAACATTATAATCATTAATTTATTATAATAGTTAAACATTATATTTATTTCATTGATTAGAGAGGCTTAAATAAAAATTATTGTAACTTACATTTATAATTGTTTTTAAAACTAAAAATTAATAATATTTAAGAATTAAGTAAGAAATGATTGCTTGATTAATATCGAATCAATACTGATTTAACATCGTTCGAATCGATCACATTGATTCAATGTGAATTGGTCGAGCGACCAATCATTTCTGACTGAGAAATAATGAGGATGGATGAAATATAAGTTGAATTAGCAAGATTTATTATTATCTTTGCATATATTTTTTAATCTCACACAATATATCTCGATAATATTCTACATAACATTTTATTCGTACATTTAACAGAAATAGAGTCAAAGCGTTTATATTATAATATGTGAGAAGATTAAAAGATACATTTAAAAGTGTTAAATGTATAATGTAGAATGACTACTGAAAATTTAATTTCTGTAAAATTTTTCTTTTTGTTTTTTGAGGAGAGAAGCCTCTGCTAAAAAATCATTATGTTTTCTATATTATTACATAAACAGTTAACATTTTAACCTAATTATTCACACTAAAACGTATTCTAAAATAAGATGATTTAACTATAATACTGATGTTTCAGTATATTTTCTTTTCTATATTTAAATCTAATAGAGATTATTTGTGATCAATAAATTATTTATTCTTAGATTAACTGGATAAATAAAGATGGTCTTCTCTTTAATCCATCTTTTTACGCAACAGTACGTTTTTTTAACATTTTATGAGTTCGCGCTTCAAAATAATTATATCTTTGGATTGTTGTATATGACTATAATTATAGATTTTACATCTTTATGTAAGACAGAGATTTCTACGTTACTAGGCATGCGATACTAAGGACGATGTCACTTAATTCTTCATGGTAACATCTTTATTATCACAATGCGATTGCTGATCTTGAGGATGAGTTTCCTCGGCGTTGGGACTGTTATCCTGATCATCGCTATCCGAGGACGAATTATCATGTGGCATGTCGATGCCGTGCTTCAGCAGGCTCGTTATCCTTTCGACATCGACAGTATCATCCTGCTCATGAATCTTTTTCAGGGCGTTCGATACTATGCATAGATCGCCTCGCAACTCGCTAACCACTGCTGAAATCTTTTGGGCATCCGTCAACACCTCCACCGATTGAGTATACGGGTTATACCGTATCCCGAAGGGTCGTTGAATCTGATTAGCAAACGCGCTGAAGAACATAAGTGGCAATATAGTAGCAACATGAAAGATACATTTTCTTTACTTTGAAATCTTTGAATGTAAAGAAAAGGGGAATGATGGGCGAAAACCAGTGAAATGTAAAGATATATAAAAGAAGAAGATAATCACCGCATCTTTTCCTTTGCCTCTTCTATGCTATCCGTATAGTAATACGCATTCTGAAACGCTGTAATGATGCATTCCTGCTTGCAAGTGATGTCTGGTTCGAATCTCATGGTCTTCTCGGGGGTGGTGACCGCATGTCTCAATTCCGCCACCGATGATAGTAATCCGGCCCCGTAAACGCGTAACATACCATCTTGCTTGCACAAACCGAACTCCACCGTGAAGAAATACAGCTGGAAAGGCAGAAGTCGAATGCGTGGAAGAGAAAGGAAATATTTTTCTATGTTCGAAGACTTACGGTTGCCAGTTTGTCTATATCTTCATCGGACGCGCCGAGAGAAGCCAGACCGAGTTCTTGAGAGAATTGTGCGAAGCTTGGGTTGGCAAGCAGCGGCATGTGGCCCAGTAATTCATGGCAGCAATCTCTGCAAATTATGGAATATTGCAATTGTTTTAAAGTGTCGATAGCAGTAAAGGAAAGAATAATTTAGGAGTTTTATTTCATCATCAATGTTTGTATTTTTGTACAGTACGTTGTTTGAGCTTTTATAAAGAATGCTTATAGAGAAGCTTACGGCTCCGGCGTATAAAATGGATCGGAAGAGTGTCGAATGTATTGCGTGCAATGAAACACTCGGAAAGCAAGACCGGAAAGGAAATCCCGCGGTGTCAGATAACCCGCGACTGGGCGAAGTTGAAATCCTGTCGTTCCTGCAGATATATCGATTCTTGTTTAAACAAGTTATTATTACTTCCGCGAAATAACAGATTAACTACGTAATAGTTTTACTCACGTTTCAAGAAAACGTTTATATCCTGCAGTTGTGGTATGTTGTCTTCTCTAATTGAAAGATAAAAATATCAAATATTTTTTATGCTGCTACTGTAAACTGATATTTCTCTTTATTTGTTTTTTTTTTAATATTTTATTTTTTATAAGTTATTCTTGAAAATGCACGTGCACTTTTTGGATATCGATAATTATTAATTTTTTAAATGTAATTATGGACAATATTTCGTGTTAAATATTTGCTAGATGTACCTGTATCCACAATACTTGACTAACTTCGGCCAATTTTCCAGATATTCCTTGCACGCATATTTTTGATAGAGTTGGTGCAGTTCGCGAAAAACAGTTCCCCTAAGATACATAAAATAGCAATTTGGTTATATTTTGCAATCTTTTTACATTTCGATAATATTACGTTTAATTTGTTTATCTTTCCTATATATTTCAGTATACTTTTTTTACAATTAGCTGATTATTATTAAAGCGTTGTTATATGATGCATTAATGAGTTACATTAAATTGTTCAAACGTTTGGCTTTTACCGAAAAGCTTTCGTTTTAATTGAGTTTATTGAAGCGATGATGTTTGCTATATGCGTCGCTGCATTTAAGTCAGAGAGATTGCATTAGCTGAGTTGCTCCTCGATCTCTTCTCACGCCGGGGGTAAATCAAATTGACGCAATTAAGGGTGCATTCAGCGTGTGCCAATCTTACTTCGATTCGTACTTTACAAAGAGACACATGAAGGGAGAGAGAGAGAGAGAGAGAGAGAGAGAGAGAGAGAGAGAGATGTAGGAAGGAGAGAAGAAAAAGGCAAACTGACTTTCTCGTTTCGATGAGGTTTCGAAAGATGGAAGTTTGCAAGGAAGACACTGAGCAAATGTATAACTTAAGTATCGAGAAATAGAAATGATTCTTCTATCTGTGTCAATTGCCTTCATGTACACGGAGGCACGTTTGCAGTTCTGTCCGTAGCTTAATGAGAAAAAGTTATATATTGTGTCTCAAAAGAGAATAGAATTGGTTCGCGACTTAAAATATATCATAAACGATTTTTAATATGATTGCAAGATATTTTCGTTAATTGTTTTGCTTATTGTTAGTCTTCCTTCTTTTCCTCAAAAAATGTTACACATTCAATTTTTGAGAATCGTAAACCTTTTACGTTCCAATGTGGTATCTTTCCAAATCTTTATGACAATTTAAAATGGCGATTTAATAAAAAATATTTTCCTTTTTAGGAAGAATTTTACAAACGTACCAGGTTCTGATCTCCTCCGGCGTGTACTGCACTCTCGGTATTGATTGACCACTAAAACATCATATTGCTTGTAATTATAGGGAAAAGGGAAGGGACAAATCCTTTTACTTTACTTACTATCTGTAATTGTAAGCGATGTCGGCGAACTCCTCGCGGCGTTTACGATACACGGTATCCTTGAAACCCTACAATTGCCGAATAGTTTTGTTAAAGCACGCAGTCGAGAGCACAAGAAGGAGTAATTGCAGTAACATGTTTACGAAAACATGCGGTAAACTTACGGGATGGTCCGCATCCAATTCCGAGCCATACATAAGAACTTTTTGCGCCCGATCGAGGTCGGATATCTTCCGCGGAAACCAGGGCATATCTACATCGCTAAAATCTTTAAATCCGATATAAGCGTGTTGCTTATATGATATTCCATTAATAAAAATCTTGAGGAGAGATAGAAACGATAAAGATATACCATGGTAAAACTTTGATACAAATTCTACCGGACTTGCAATTTTAACTTTTGCTAAAAGGAATACTTTGAGGTGTAAGTTGTAACAATAAACTGATCGCACACACACTCGAAGAAATTTGATATTCCTTTTGATTCCTCTTTTGCGAAAGAGAAATCGTACATACGATCAAACATTTTATTTTAGAAATTTTAAAACAAACGAGAAGAAGGGATTTAAAACAAAGAAAATCTCAAAAGTTCTTAGAGTATCATAAATATTATATGAATGAAAATACGATGAAAAAATTTAATAAATTATTAAATTGTTAAATAACTAAGTATTTGACTTAAAATAAAGTAGCAAATAAATAAATTATATTCTATTATTAAATTAGCTTTTATTATTTTATTTTATTATAAATTTAGTAATATTCTGTTACTAAATTAGCTTACGATCTGTTTTACAGGCAGTTGTGTCAATTTACGCTACACCCCAATTTTATTAAATTAGCTTACGATCTGTTTTACAGGCAGTTGTGTCAATTTACGCTGCACCCCAATTTTATATTTAAAATTGCATTATGAAAAAATAAGAAAGAAAAAAAATATAAATAAAACTGATTTAAGAAATTATAAACATGTAAAACGATGTAATACTATCAATAATATAGCTACTATTATTTAAACTACTCAATTTGTAGAAGAAAATCATAAGAATTTTATTTTCGTATTTGTAAAATTCATTTTCAGCTGATTTTGTATAGAAGCAAGCAACAAATACATGAATTATAAGTTTTTACTTTCTTAAATATCTAAACAGATAATGTTTTTATCAGTATTAATAAAGTGTAATAATTAATTTTTCCGAAAAATACACAGAGAAAAAGATTTCTTTGAATGTAATAAATTTGATTGTGTATCCAATTAATAAATTTGATTGTATCCAAATAAATTTGTTATTTGGAATGGTCCAAACAAACCAATGTTTAAATTAATAAGTGCGATTGTTTGAATTTGAAACAATGTATATCTTTGTCTTAAATACATTATTTGTTTGAACAGATAATATCTATTTTCAGTATTCGCGTGATCAACTGTACGGCACAAACATAATTGATGTAGCACACAGCACTGCTCGTTTAATCCTATTGTTAGACCTATAAGCCATTGTTTCCATATTTTCGGTCAAAAAATGTAATAATTGTTCTAAGAAAGCAATTATTTGCATGGAATAACCTAACCTCTATGAATATATTTTGCCATTTTCTAATAAATAATTTATTTCATTGTTTGTATACATTGTAACCAAATAATATATTATTTAATTGAAAGATCTTACTTCAAATAATAATGTTATTTCTGTCAAGCAATAGAAGTTTCTCGAATGAAACAACAAAATTTTTATTCAAACAAATAATATTTCGTACAAGCATATGTTGTTTCAATAAAACAAATTTTAGTCAAATAAATAGGAATACTAAATCCAAAGAAACTTTTTTCTCTGTGTAAGAGGGTATTTCTTTAAAAGACCTATGTTAGTATTAATGACTATCTTTCCTTTACTTATTTAGGTATTTGAAATTGAAAGCTATGACTCTCAATTTACAAAAAGAAACATAAATGAATCCAAATCTAATAAAATGTTTACTACTGCGATTGAGATTAAAATATTTTTCTGACCAAAGCTGCAGTTTATCATATCGGAATTTAAGTATATCAATATATACGTATAACAATATATTTACAGTGACATGCGGTTATTGCAATTGCGTTTAGCTCGATAAATTTGATAAAGTCATTGTGCACATGGAGGACTCACCGAAGCTTGTCGCAGTCGAAAGAGAAGGCGCGCGTGGTATATTTCCAATCTGTTCATAATGAGCGAGATTGATAGCCGCTACTTCGCGGTTCAGCATCTTCATCAATTGTTCCATTCTCTTCGGATCGCACTCGACATCCACGAGAATATCATACTCGGATCCGCGGCGCAGTGACTTCCTCGATTCAATGTGCACGACGTTTATACCTAAATCCTTTGTACGAGATAAGGGAAAGATAGTCTCTATTCAATAATCGAAACGTGCAGCGTAGATATGCGGTATCATAAACGATTTGGAATTTCAGAAGTAACTTTTCCCCGGTGTACTAATTGTCACAAATTTATAATCTATCTCATATTAATGAGATAGAAAGGAGGAAGATCAACAAAGCAATAAAAAAAATTTTTAGCGAACTTTATAGTATTTTTTAATCATCAGATTTCCGATTGTTCACTCGGCTAAATTTATTAAACTTAACACTTATAAAAAAAAACTGAGGCGGATAAATAATTTTGACGTAGGTGTAAACCTACTAAAAACAAAAAATATAAAACGTACCTGAAATACTTGAAGTGCTCGTGCCAAGCCACCGACTTGATTCTTCAAGGAAAATATCACAGAAGTCTTGTTGTCACTAGTTGAATTATTCTCATTCTCGGGGATCTAAACGAACGAGAGACCGTATCTGTTTAATAAGTTGCTTGTCTGAATTTTTACGTTAATTTTTATAAAATCGGTTTTAGGACTTTTTTATAAAATTAAATTTTTTGGGTCAACTCCAATTGAACTAATTGTTCCGAAAAAATTGAAAAGTATCGGCAAAAAAGGTAAAAATATATATTAAATTTACCATCAGTATTTATAACAAATATATATAATTATAAGGCAAAACTTCCGAATAGGGGAGGCAGCCCCGATGACCTTGACCTTGAGATATGTTGTCAAGGTCATGACCCTGAGTGACTTCCAACAGGTTTTAGTCGTCGCTCGTCCTTCGGTCAACTAACTAAGGTCGGGGCTGTCTCCCCTATTCGGGAGTTTTACTAATTATAATTATAAATGAATTAACGTTTCTCTTCTAAGATTAATTAATATCTATTGTATTTACTTTTGCATATACAATTTACTTCAAAAGTAAGAAAATATTCTAATCACATTTAAAAAGTATGTAAGAGCAAATCAGAATAATGCTTATAAGAGCCAAATACAGGATGTACGCATGTAATGAATTTATTCAATCAATACATTAACAGATGTTTCGATCCTATATTGCGGATTATTCTCAATATCGCAAAAAATCATTTAGAATTTAAAAATACAAATTTAAAGCACACAAAAAAGAGGAAACGAATTCTGTGACATGTACACGGAGAGAATTTTCTCTTAAAATTTAGCCTGAAAATCATGATAATAGTGGGACAACATAGTATTTCAAAGAATTATATATGAGTTTCTTTAATTTACTAATATGTGTCATAATAAGATATGTAATGTATTTTATTAATTTTACTAAAGGGTATAGTAAAATTTCAACATTTTAAAATATGTTACGCAGTTTATGATTCTTTATTATTTTAAAAGAATAGATGCTAAGTAGTCATAAAAATATATAAAATTGCTTATACAATTTTTACCATACAGCATGATATTTTTAATCCGATTTAGTCGCTTATAATTTTACCATGTAACATAGTAATTGATCGACTGTAATCGATATTTATCGGTTATTTTCGTTGTCGAGTGTGTCTCTAGCTACGCTAGAACTTACTCACTTCAAAACATTTTACAATCTGCATTATAATTTTTACTACATCATTTATAAAAAGTCTCTTGTATATTTCAAAAAATCTATCGTTACTGATAATATTTCATTATTGTCAAGTTGTCCCAAGCTTATTACCAAACATGATGAAATTTGTAATGAATTTTGCGGTAAAAAATAACGAAAAATTCTCTCCGTGTAGCGGTACGTGTCTTATGAAATGTAGACGTGTTAAAAGTATAATAATGTCCAAGCGCATTTTCATTTTAATTACTAAGTTAACTATGAAAAATTTTTCAACAATCATTTATAATAATTAATCAATAATAAGTGATTAGATGATTAACAATAGAAAAAATTCCTAAAAATTGCAAATGCAAATAAATTAAGTCTCTTTTTATTTATTTATAAATGATCAGACTTACATGACAGACGCAAAGACAAGTCGCTCAGTAAACGCAACAATTCTATCGATCGCACTCATGTAAAAAACGCAATCGAAAACTAAAGTTTTTTATCTTGTTGACAAAAATGGTAAGAAGAGAGAAGCATTAAGTCCTTATAAATAAATTAGAATATATAGAGTCAAGATACCGTGTCATTTTTAATGTTCAAGATAAAAATCATTTCACAAAGAAACAAATAAATGGCTTAAAACATTAATAATGGCTTAAACATTAAAAATGGCACGGAAAATCAGACTATGTAAGAATCTACGATTAATTGTGAAAAAACGAAGATAATTTTTAAATTATTCTTGTGTGCGATTTCACTTGTCGTAATGTTTGTAACTTTAACTGAAATCACTAGTTGTCAATCTATATTTTCTCAATAAATATACAGCAACGTACGTCGCGCGATTTGTGTAGCGGACTTCCTTCCTTGACAGCCCAACTTTCGCCTCTTCTGTACAGCCACACCCCGAGAAGACTCTTCCCTGATCCACTCATAATGACTTTTGTGATAAATGAATTTGTGAATCAGCGAGAGGATACTTTTTGTCGGTAATTTCGTTTATGAGCAAGATTTAGCTCTTATATGACGCGATAGATAGTTTCGCGATTAACGATTCGCTGTCTTTAAGGAAACGAGCAACAGTGTGCCGGTACCATCTCTAAGATCCTCTTAAGACCTCGGTCTCCCCGTTTGCGCTCGTCCTTCTCAATGACGATCTCGTAGCTGGGCGGTGCATGGCGGCATCAGCGATTCTCATTGGTCGGATAAAACTTCTCACGGGGTTGAAGACAAGTGTTGGCTCACCCCCGTTTAGTAAGTGGTGCCCATCTTCAAATATATTCTTCGTGAGTGACGTCACTGGAGCCTATGGGGCGGACGATGCGAGCACCGGTAATGAGCGCGCAAGAATTGCAAAGTTTCCAATAAATGAAATGCAACATAGTACGTTTCTATTTTTACAATGAATTTTTACTCAAGAAATAAGAAATAGCGTCCTTCTCGTTTACTTAACAGATAGAAAAGAATGAGACATATATTCCATCAACAATAAGTTGATACGGAAAAAAGATTTAACACTGAAAAATATAATTATTAATTATACTAATTGTAATTATTAATTATATAATTTATATAAAATACAACCATAAAATTTTATTTATTTTAAATATTACATTTTTATTATTACATTGACAAATGTAATTCCGGTTACATATTGATAAACAAAATATTTTATAAATCTATATATTATAATTGTAAATTATTTTTATATTTTAAAATTATTTAAAAAATATTCAATTATACCTACATTTGCTATAAAAATTATACACTGCATATTTAAGAGATATTTATTATAAATATAGATTTCATCATATTATAAATAAAACGTTGATAAGAGCTTCTTCTTTTTATAATATTGTATGGAAATTATGATGCATTGATAACGTTTCTGTCATTAAAATATATTAATGCACGCAGAGCAAAATGATATATGCCGCAATAAAAAAATCGGTCGAAGGACCGACTTTCTATTAAAGGGAAGAAGCTTTTTCGACGAAGCGACAATTTCTCGTTCTTTAGATTCTGTTCCGAAACAAAGAGACTGTTTAATAAAAGCTCAAACGTTCGAGAAGTACTCCCACTCGAGGAAAGTAGATGCAGCACATTACGAGTGGTCCATCACTTACCACTATCAGCTGCCGCAACGCAGTTCCACCCTTAGAAAATTATACCAAGTGTTTCACCGGCATTAAGCGAGATTGAGAGTATCGTTCGATCCCGGCTTGTGATACTCCTTTATCGAAATGTGTTTGCAGACGGTTGGTTTCCAGGGGATGTTTTTCGCGAGAGGGGATACTTTTCGGCACTGGTAATCATTTATTATTCAATCAATTTATTTCATCACTAATTTTGTTAACCCTATTGCCGAATGCGTTGTGAAATTTTTTGTTCTCATCAACGACGCTACAAAGAATTGAGAGATTCGGAGAGCCTCGGTCTTCGTGAAACTGCGAGACCGGTCTGCATAACATAATCTTACGTCACCCGCATCCTTTCGTATGCCGGTGACACGAGATATCCTTTACCGTGATGACAATGAAGTTGAAAGAGTAGTTATCAGCTGCGATATGTCGACGACAAGAGGTAGCTTATAGAATCAAACAAAAAATTTGTAATGGGATATGCCAGGTAACACGAATTTAGTCTTTATCTCCTACCCTGTTACAAAGGGCACTAGGTCAAAAGTAATCGATACTGTCAATTTTTTTGCCTCGTATTATCTGATTTTTTTCTTGAGGGTACATTAACGAAGTTATTTTTCGTCGTGTAATAAAAACTTAATTGCTGCAGTTTCAAATTATATCTCTTGGGTTGGAACAAAAGTTCGTAACTGTACTTCATTTGCATCATGTCTATTGCCCGTATTCATAATCAGATCTTATATTTAAGGCTTCCTTAAATTTATCTTCAGATGCTCTACGAATTATTTTTTTTACTACTGAAAATCTAAAGATAAATTTAAGGAAGCCTTAAATATAAGACCTGACTATGTGAATACAGATCTATATGTTTAACAAAAATGAATAATTATACCATTCGATAAAACAAAGTTTCAGCCGTTATGTTAAAAAAATTTGAATATGATTGTGATAATGGGAATGCTTTTGGAGTTCCCTTTGAGGGAAAAATGAATATGTGGTATCTGAATTATGTCCAGTATCTTGATGAAGACAACAATGTGCCAACAAGAGCAGTTAACGATGTTTTTCTACACTGTTAAAAAAGACATAAAATTTAATGTACTTTTAAGTTATAAAAATTAAATTAAATTTTATGACTACATTAAATTTTATGTATCTGTAACTGAAAAGTATATTTGTGTACATGTACATGAAATTTAGTGTATAGTTTCATAAAATTTTACGAAACGTACACTAAATTTCATGTACATGTACACAAATATACTTTTCAGTTACAGATACATAAAATTTAATGTAGTCATAAAATTTAATTTAATTTTTATAACTTAAAAGTATATTAAATTTTACGTCTTTTTTAATAGTGTAGTTTTAAAGAGCTTCAATAAGGAGTAGGAAGCTAAGGAGAGATAAGGTTCGTACCTTCGCCAGAATTCAATTTAGCAGTTAAAACATTTATTTCAGTGAATGTCTCACCTCTCTGTCAATTAATATATGACTCATGGCAAGGAGGCATTCTTTTATTTTTAGTAAAATTACAGTTGCTTGAATTTCGAAATTCGTATAGCGCTACGAACTTTTGTTCCAACTCGTGTGACCCCGATATACATCGATCTCTCCTTTTAAATATTTATAATCTAATAATTAGGTTCAAATGGAAATATTTATTAAAAAGACATACAATTGTATTTGCGTTGTGTATTCCAAATTATTATTTTATAATTTCTTTTGTTCCTCGTATAATTACATTTTATTATTATTTATTATTATTATTATTATTATTTATTATACAATCTGTTACACACTCATATTATATCTTCAGCCTATAATCTGAACGTTTTTAACGTGCTTTCTATTCTTGATATTTGTTGTTCTACGTTTTATTGCGTTTTCATGTTATATTTCTGTCTTTTGACGTCGATAGCCTGTTGCTTCACTTTTGCGAGACGCGTTCTTCCTTAAAGCTTTCCAAGTGTGTGTCTCTTCGAGAAAATCGACTGAAATTTTTTAATCGATCGAAACGGCCAAACGTACAGAAAGTCCTCACGAAGGAAAACATAATGATTATTTATCGAACAGCAAACAGTAAGATCTTTTTCGAACGGCCTCTCAGCACGAATAATAAGAGAAATGATCGATAATTCTAGATTCTCCGGGAGCGGATGTAAGAAAAATAGTTGTGAGGAATTGTAAAATGATGCAGCTGGTGGAATTGCGAACAGACATTGGAAAAATGTAATTATGGTGTAATTTGATTTTGACGATACATTGATTACTTCAATTTTTGGGTCGGAATTCTATACAATTACAAAATAAATTTTAAAAATATCAAACAATAAAATAAATAAAAATATCTTTATGCAAAGGATACCTCTATTGTCTTAACAAATGAAAATATCAATAATAAAAGAATCGGTGCAATAAATAGTAATTTATACAAATCACATTTGTTTCGGCTCCAATTCAAGCCATCCTCAGAAACATCAATAACACTAGTTTACAGTAAAAAATTACTTTAGACCGGACTGCGTGTTTTTTATAGATTTTTGGATGCTGAAAACAATGCCGCAAGCGAAAAAATTCTAGCACGTCGGATTTTTAAGATAATTGAGATTTAATACTTAAAAAATAGCTTTTTTTGCGATATTTGACATTTTTTAGTAAAGAAGGTCAACGTTATCTTGAAATTTCGATTAAGAATCATAAATATATTGTGCATCCCCTATAAAATGCATTTTTTTTTATTTCAATATCTTACTTTTTAGCCATGCTATGAACGATTAAAGATAGGAGCTATTTTGAATATGGTGACTCCAGCAGCGTCATATGTGTATGCGGATTAATTTCTTAGGGTCACATTTTGATAACTGTACCTTAATACTTTTATGCACAGAACTATGAAACTAATCCACTGGTGTAATAAAAATACATCGTTGCTTAAAAAAAAAATGCAATTAGTAATATGTGACTACATATTTTTCATAAAACAACTCTCTCTCTCTCTTCTCTCTTTCTCTCCTTTTCTTTCTCCCCTCCTCTTTCTCTCTTCCTTCCCCCTCACTTTCTCTCTCTCTCTGTGTGTGTATGTATGCGCGTTATTGTTGTTTTAAAATGATTTTAGCGTTACCGCATGCGCATATGATGCTGCCGCGGTTCTCATATTTGAAATAGCTCTTATATTTAATCGTTTTCATAACATGGCTAAAAAGTAAGGTATTGAAATAAAAAAAAATCCATTTTATAGGGGATGAACAATACATTCATGACTCCTGATCGAAATTTCAAGATAACATTAATCTTCTTTATTAAAAAATGTCAAATATCGCAAAAAAGCCATTTTTTAAGTATTAAACCTCAATTATCTTGGAAATCTGACGTGCTAGAATTTTTTCGTTTGCGGCATTTAAAAATCTATAAGAGACCATGTATTCAAAATAAACCACCATGTGGCTCAAAAGAGCGAGACATTCAACCTCATTGAATCTAAACGTTGCTTGAACTGTTCAACTCCATTGGAATTAACTCAGCTACAATACTTCAATTATTTCAATAAAAGTGATAATTAAAAAATAACAAGTATTTTTACTTTGACATAGAATTTTATGGATATTTTTAACAGCAACAAATTTATTGCTGTCAAAACGTTATTATATATAATGACTGTTAAAAATACTTATAAAATGTTGACGTGAAATTGATTTTATTAATTCCAATCTAGTTTAACAGTTTGGTTTATTTTAATCATAGAGAGTTTTGGGACGATTAATGTATAACATGAGTTCATTGATTGATGTTTTGAAAAAAATCGATTGAATACGTTAAAAATGAATAGGTTTATGCTCAATTTATGATGCTTTTACATTTGCGTTATT